TCTGAAAAAGGATTCAGGCAGAAGGGTTTTAATCAATGCTTTTATCTTTATATAGTAACTGACAGTCTTGATTGCTGGTGGCTAGGTCCAAAAAAAGAAAGACAGCCTTAAGGGGGAGTTGCTGGATTAACAAGTAAAAGCTTCAAGGGATTGAGAGACGCCACTTTGGAGATGCTGGAAGATAGTGAAGCTACTCACGGAAGACTCACTCACATTTAGAAGGTGAAAGATTCTCTGTGGTCAGCTTTCAACTCAAGTCAAGTAATAAGTCAATCTACATACAAAGTTCTGTGTCTGGTTAAACGAGCGAAAGGTGCTTGCTGACTTTATCTGCATTGCCCTACATTGTCTGTAATCACGAAAATGGACTCAATCCTAGCGTTTAAAAATGTTTAAAGAGAGCATTGCTGTTCCACCATTATTAGCAGGATACACCTAGCCATTTCAGTAGATTCTGGAAGCCTTGGATAGCAAGTATTTTAGTTACTGGTCTCATAGTTGTGACCCTGCAAGAGAAGCTGGAAAACCGACTCTCTAGTCTTTCCAGAGAAACAAACAATCAAACAAATTAGCAATTAAAGGTTCTGCAGGACATGAGGTCACATACCAGTAATCCTAACTGTGGAGGCTGAGGCAGGAAGGCCTCAGGACTGAGGCCAGCTTAGGTCAAAGAGTGAAACTACATCTTTTTTTTTAAGGCTCTATTGCTAAGGAAGAAGAAGAAGAGAACGGCTCTGGCCACCTATCTCACCTCACTTCATCCTCCCTCCTGCTGTACCACACGTTGGGCCTGGTGCCCTGTTGTATCACCAGTTCTCAAGGAGGGCACTGAGGTTTAACCAGGAAGCGCCAAGTATCACTGAGTAAATACCGATGTTCTGGTTTCAGAAAGCTACCCAGGTGACCTCTTTGTCATCTTCCTGCTTGGTCTTCTTGATATATATGTGTGTGTGTGTGTGTGTGTGTGTGTGTGTGTGTGTGTGTGTGTGTGTGTGTGTATGTATGTGTATATATGCACATATATAGGTATATGTGTGTATATATATGTATATGTATATATATATATGTATATTGTTTTTCCTGAGACAAGAGCTCATATGTAGCCCAGGCTTGTCTCTCAAACTCACCACACAGCTAAGAATGACCTGATTCTCTTGACTCAGCTTCCCGATTGCTGGGATTCTAGGCATGCTTCACCACCCCTGGCTGCTTGTCATGTTTTGGAAGCAGAGTCTCCCTGCACTTGCCCAGGCCTCATCCTCCTTCAGACCCCTCCCCCTGAATTAAAATCATTACCTAAGCCAAGTATGCCCTTCGGAGTCGGCCAGTAGCTAAGCACTGGTTATCTCCATCCCAGGTTCTAGCTTTTGTTGTTGTTGTTGTTGTTTGCTTTGCTTTGCTTTGACGCAGGGTCTCATGATGTACCTATGCTCCCAGGCTGGCCTGGAACTTGTGATCCTCCTGCTTCAGCCTCCTGAGTGCTGGAATCACAAGTAAGCACTAGAGTCAACCTGGAGCTCTAGAACACTCAGGGGCCCCACCCCAGTTCTTTCTGTTGTAAGGGCAGGTATGAATAAGACATAGCACCGTGTGTCAGGTGCCATAGCAAGGTGATGGTGGTAATTGCCAGATTCTCTCTCTCTCTCTCTCTCTCTCTCTCTCTCTCTCTCTCTCTCTCTCTCTCTCCATATATATATCACCTGGGTGAGCCTAAGCCAGTCTGGGATTGCCCTGGAGAAGAAGAAATTCTGCTTCTCTACCACAGATGTCTGATGCCCAGCAGTCAAGTCCATCCTTCCTGATGGCCCACCTCATGGATTTCAGATTCACCAACCAGCCTCTTCCACAGTCTGTCATTCCTTGTAGTGAAGGACTTAGTCTCTCTCTTCCTGGTTCTGTTTCTCCAGAAGAACCCTGACACAAAGGGATGATGCTGTCATGACATAACTAAATGTGGGGATCAAGAAAAAGCTTTTGAACACGCCAAGACCAAAAATCGATTCAAAATCAAATGTAAGGAATCTCAAGTGTTTCTGGCAGCCCCCGGTATATCAAGTGGCTTCACTGCTGCCTCCTTTCTGAACACACATCATGCGTGCTCTGCACTGTGAGCCGTCAGAACGGGCAATGCTGAGGACTGCTGCCTGGACCACCTCAACTCAGATTTGAGACTATTGGATGACGGGAACTGCAGTGCTGTGTTTTGTTTTTCTTTCTTTCTTTTTTAAACTGAACATACAGTTTTCACTCTCACAGAAACAAACAGAGTTTGATTATGGAAAACAGAGTATTTTACTGTCATTCCTCAGCATTGAAACGTTAAGTGGATTGGGTTGTCCTAGGGTGTTCGATTTGAAAAATAGCTGTTTGAGTTGTTGATTTAAAAAATAGCTGTTTGAGTTGTCACCTAGAAAAAAAAAATTAAACAGAGCTTGGCTTGGGGGACTGGAGAGATGGTTCAGTAGTTAACAGCACTTGCTGCTCTTGTAGAGGACTAGAGTTGGGCTCCCAACACCTACACTGTTCACAACAACCTGCACTGCAACTCCAGCTCCAGGGGATCCCATGCTCTTTTCTGGCTTCTGCTGACACTCTTGCATATATGGTATACATTCACACACACACACACACACACACACACACACACACACACACTCAAAATAAACATAGACTTAAAAAAATTGGGAGATTTTATTTTTCTATATGAGTGTGTTTTTTGTATATATATTTTATGTATATGAGTGTGTGTGTGTGTGTGTGTGTATGTTTGTGTGTGTGTGTGTGTGTGTGTGTGTGTGCATACAATGCATGAGGAGGCCAGAAGATGGTGTCAGATCCCCAGGAACTGGAGTTACAGATGGTAGCAAGCTGCGGTGTAGGTGCTGGGAATTGAACTTAGGTCCTCTGGAAGAACAGCTAGTGCTCTCCATCCCCAACATAAATCTTTAAAAACAATATTGGGGGCTGGAGAGATGGCTCAGAGGTTAAGAGCACCAACTGCTCTTCCAGAGGTCCTGAGTTCAATTCCCAGCAGCCACATGGTGGCTCACAACTGTCTGTAATGAGATCTGGCACCTTCTTTTGTATACATAATAAATAAATAAATCTTTAAAAAATATTGGTTTGGGATTGAGACAGAATTTAAAAAGTTGCTGTGGGATGGTCTGTATGTCAAATTGCTCTGATTGGTCAATAAATAAAACACTGATTGGCCAGTGGCTAGGCAGGAGGTATAGGTGGGACTAACAGAGAGGAGAAAAGAAAGAACAGGAAGGCGGAAGGAGTCACTGTCAGCTGCCACCATGACAAGCAGGATGTGAAGATGCCGGTAAGCCACGAGCCACATGGCAACGTATAGATTTATAGAAATGGGTTAATTTAAGATATAAGAACAGTTAGCAAGAAGCCTGCCACGGCCATACAGTTTGTAAGCAATGTAAGTCTCTGTGTTTACTTGGTTGGGTCTGAGCGGCTGTGGGACTGGTGGGTGACAAAGATTTGTCCTGACTGTGGGCAAGGCAGGAAAACTCTAGTTACAAAAAGTAGTCCAAAATATAGTTCTGCTATTTAGCACCACATATTTATGATGCAAAATGGCATTCTTAGCATTGGTGATTATAAAATGAAAATATCAATCAACTCTGAAAAATTATGAAGCTGATCTGTGTTCTGTAGTATCAAATGTTTAGCCACAACTTAAGCCTTTCTGTAAAAATAAGAAGCCCATCTATCTAAGCATGTAAACTGCTTTCTTCTTTAATAAATAGTGAAATTATATGTATTCAAAAATGTTTTAAAATGAGTTTCTTTATGACTCACCATGGGAAAATGTTTGATTTGTATACTGGCTTTATATACCTGTACCCCCAGGGTTACACAAAACCTTCTCCGGTGAAAAGCGGTCATTAGTGGCAAAAAGACTTAAGAAGTCCTCTGGAAAATGCCGCAGTTGCTGAAGGCTTCAGAAAGAGGGTGGAACAGGGCGTCTTGAGCACAGGGAACACCATTTGCAAAGGCAGCAGGCAGTGGCCAAGCCTGGACTCCCTCATGCCCCACAGCTAAAGGTAAAAGTTGCAGTTCATATAAATGACTGAGGACATTTTATCCCTAAAAGTTAGAAGCCAGCCTGGGATACACAGCAAGTTCAGAGTCAACCAGGACTATGGAGTGAAACCATATTTCAGAAAAATTCCGGGGTAGTGGTGGTGGCGGTTGTACTATTTAGCTAGGCTTGGTTCCAACACTCAGGAGTGGAGGCAGGAGGAAGAGGAGTTGGAGGCCAGCCTGGGTTACTTGAGAATCTGACTCCAATACATCTACAAAATATTTCTAACACCCTAACGGTGCGCTCTCTCTCTCTCTCTCTCTCTCTCTCTCTCTCTCTCTCTCTCTCTCTCTCTCTCTCTCTCTCTCTCTCTTTTCTGTCCCATTTAAAAAATTTTTTTTTTACATTTATGTATGTATGTATGGAGGGGCATGCACAGGTGCCATGTATCACCTGTGGAAGTCAGAACTTGAGGAAGTCCTCCTTCTACCGTGTGTGTTGTGGGGATGGATGAACTCTATCCTTCAAGCTTGGAAGCAGGGTCCCTGAGGCTTTATCTCCTAAAAAGAAAACCGTATTCAAGACCCAGGATACATCACAGGAAAGGATGGAATGGGGTTTGAGCCTACGCACTGTAGGTGTCTCTGAAGCGAAGACTAAAAAACAGTTGGACAAAACATGGGACGCAAACGAAAGTGTTATTCGAGGCTTCACTGAGTTCCAGACAGTTCAGCCGCAGCCTTCTCCCGCCTGGGCGAGCACATCCTGAACATGGAGTGGCTAAGGTTAGAGACCCTCCATCTGTGACCGTGCTAGGGTCACGTGAGTTCAAGGAACTGGCCCCGCAGCGCTCTAAGCGGTGCGCTCTGGATACACTCACACCCGTGGGGTCGCCACGCTTAGTGCTTGCCCACGTGGGTACCGGCAGGTGGGCGCGGGAGGCGGCAGCCAGGAAGGGGGCGGAGCGCAGGTGGGGCGGGCCAGGGGCGGGGCGAGTGCGGTTCCGGGATCCGGGTCCAGCTTCGGCCCGAGGCCGTGGGGCTCAGCGGGCGCCGCTAGCGAGTGCATGTTGGGGCGTGCGTTCCGGAGGCGCTGCCCACGGGGGCTGCGGCGCGGCCGGGAGGCGCTGCTGGCGCTGCTGGCGCTGGCTGGGCTGGGCGCGGTGCTGCGGGCTCGAATTGGATCTGGGACGGTGGAGACCCGGGCCGGGCCGGTGGACTCGGTGCCCCCGCGCTCTCTTCGCCTTGGGCGTCGGGACCCGGTGCTGCCCAGGCCACCCCTGGCCGCCGATGCGCTGGGCGCGCAGGGGGAGGCGGTGCGGCTGCAGCTGCAGGGCGAGGAGCTGCGGCTGCAAGAGGAGAGCGTGCAGCTGCACCAGATCAACATCTACCTGAGCGACCGCATCTCGCTGCACCGACGCCTGCCTGAACGCTGGAACCCTCTGTGAGTGGTTACGGAGCACGGACGCGTGGGATGATGCATCCTCCTCGGGAGGAGGCGGTACCGGAGGGTATATCCTGAGGGCGGGGAGGCGGGAAAGTTTAAAAAAAAAATCAAAACGAACCCAAGAAAGTCTCAGAAATTGAAGAGCTGATAACTGGGTAGTCTCTTGAATCTGACTCCTCAAAGTTGTCATTCTGCCCCGAGAGGGTAAGATTCGAGTTAAGTAGACTGGCGAAGAGACCCCAAGTCCGTGCCTGTGGTGCCGTTAGGACTGTGCGGGGGTGGCTGTGACTCCCGGGAGCTGACGGCGCCTAGTACAGGGCTGGCTCCATTCATCGGTGTGGGTGTGCCGCTGCCCAGGGACAGAGCAGAATCATCGAGATACCCAATGGTTGTGTCCGAGGCCCGGAACCGCCTTCCTCTCTCTGGCTGTTTAATTTCTGGCTTTGGGTGGAGGGCGGTGAGAAGGAGAGGTTGGTGGAAAGGGCGCCTTTGGCTGCAGTCCAGCCCAGCTCACTCTTGTAGGTGGTGCAGGGCCGATCCTGTTGAGTCTGAGCCTAGTTCCTGTTGGAGCTGCTGGCTTTTCAGCAGGTGAGGTACAAGGAAGCAAACAAACCTTTGACCCTGGGCCTCCCATACTCCTCAGCCCTTTAAGTTGGTTAGAGAATTTCTAGTCCCCACTTGAGCTCTGAGTACCGACTTCCCGGAAAACAGGACTCAGAAAGGGGTCCCGGTCAGAGCCAGAGGGCAGGCCTGCTGTTAGCATCAGGCATCTGCCACCTCCTCTTCCCCAGGCCATGCTGCCCCCCCCCCCCCCCGGGTTTGGAAATGGACTCAGAGGGCATAGGTAAACACTCAGCTGTAAAATGATGAAATTGGCCTTCTGGGATTGTAACCCTCCGAGCAGCTGCTGTCACCCCCTCCCCCCATCTCAGGGAAAGTCTAACAATAGACTTGACCTCACATCATACCTGGATTTGTTCATGCGTCCCGCTGTGCTTCGGCCCAAGGCCTTTCCTTTTTCACTATTAACCTTTCCGGGTAAAATTTCCTGGGATTGGCGGCAGCAATTCTCCGCTTCTACCAAATGCCTCAAGGCACGTTTACCCCCTTGAAACCCCAGAGTTGATCTACCAGATCTAGGGAGGATTTCAGGCCAGACTCAGGAGTCACACCTGAGTCCTGGGAGATACAACCCCAGGTGGTGGTCTTTTGCTCACCACCTCTGTGATCTCAGACTGTGAGTTCAGTCTTTGGTTGATTCAGCCTCAGTTTCCCCATTTGAAAACTAGGGAACTGACGAGTCTGTACACTCTACATAAGCTGGTAGAAAGAGTGCATCCTTGGACTTTATAATCGGCTCACACCTGGGAGCATACTGTGCGCTCCTTAGTTCCCTGTCCTCTGCTGCCCTGTGTATACTTGGGGACTTCTCTTCCGGCCCTCTGGGATTGGTCATAATGATTTTCTTCTCCACATCCAATTTCCTTTATTGTTAGAAGTTGTGAATATCTCTTTGAAACACTTCAGATGACCTGTGGGGCTTACGGTATCCTGTCTCCATGGTGATGCAGCTGCCTTGTGTCCTATCAGGATTTGAGAATAGATCCTGCTGTGCCATTGACCCTGGGAATTAATCCAACCCAGCAGGATGGGCCTTGCCTCTGACTCCTGTAACAGAGCCTGTCCCATTATTTTACTGTCCAGGAGAGAAAAGCTGTGTATGTCTCCACCAGGACAGGCTTTGAGGCACAACATTCATGTGGTCAGGAGTGTCAGGGCCTTGCCTGGAGTCTCACATCTGTCGAATAATAGTCTGCCCCCGCCTTATTCTCAGGGAACAGGTTCCAGATCCCAGTAGATATCTGAATTCTCATATGGTACCAAACGTTGTGGATACTAAGCACTGATACGGTGACAGTCTGTCTGATAACAGTGTAACTGCTAAGTGACTAATAGGTCGGTAGTGTGTACAGTGTGTGTGTACACTGGACAAAGGGATGGATGATTCATATCGTGGAAAAGGCAAGCTTTTGCTATACTATTTGAGAAGGTATACAATCTTAAATTTTCCATTTAATATTTTTGGAATATGGTTGAGTAGCCAAAGCTACAGAAAGTGAATCCACACATAAGAGGGGACTACTGGAGCTTCTACAACAGTGACGAGCTAACCAGGGTCTTGATATTTGGGTTGAGAATTCACAGTGTAGGGTCCTTAGGAGTCCGGTTAATAAGCGGAGGGTACTCAAGGTCCCTGAATGTTGATGAGGGACAGCCTGTAGGAGGACTTCCAGACAAACCAAAGGAAAAGCCTGGGTCCTTCTGGGAAGGGAAAGTTACTTACCTGATTGTTTTTATTATAAAACTTTTGCTTCAGAAATTTTACCATAAGAAAAGCAAAAACCCCAAACAAGTGAAAAAAGCCAACAACAGAGCATTAAGCCAGGCATGGTGGTGCATGTCTGGTCCCAACCCAGCCAGGGCTACACAGCAAGACTCTCTCAAAAAGTTAAAGGAAAAAAAATTAGCTTACAAACCCGGCAAAACTGTTATTAACATTTTGCTGTGTATCTGTCTAGACTTTTTCCAAGTATAGAAACAGACTTCGGAAAATAGACACATAGAAGTGTGGGTGAGAGCGTAGTGTGCATGTAAGCTCACGAGGTTTTGCTGTCTTTGCTTATACATGCTACAAGAGACCAAGCGTGGGTCAACCCGGGGGCATCTGCTTCGGCTCTTGCTGGCAAGAGCAAGGTCTGCACCAGGTCTCTGCCTTTGGACAAGCCCGACCAGTAAAGAGATTTGGGAAGCTGGCTTTGCATCCTTGAGATGTGCTGGGGGAGCAGGGTCCTCGGTCTGTCACCATTGCCTGTCATTGGAGGGAGGATTTTTCACCCCTACATAGCAGGCAGCTGGCTCTGCAGCCCCCGGGAGCTCTTAGAAACAGTCAGTGCCAGGGACCTTCCCCAGAACAATGAAATCAGAATTTCTGTGGCTAGGTCCCAGGCTGACTCTGATGTATGACCTGGCTGAAAGCTGCTGACCGAGTCACCGTGGATTGCTGGCTCAGGAGTCATGCAGAGGTGGAAGTTAGAGTAAGTAGTGGTTAATAGTAAGTACCGTTGAAACGAGCAAGGGTGTGTGTCACGAGCTAACGTTACCCTACAAAAGTAGGGTTCACTGACCGCAGTGATGGGATGTCTGCTGTAATGCCGTTGTCACTCACGTTCTGACCCGGTTAGCAGGAGAGGAAGTGGAGTGACGGTGTTGTGGTGTCCCCAGACCTGTCCGTGTGCATGCTGTGTGTGCAACACCATCCACTCAGCTGTGCGCTGCTAGTACAAGAGCACCATTGCTTGACCTTGTTTGCTCTTGACCTTGACTGCTGTAGCTACATGTATGTTTGAGTTCAGGGATCAGGTCTTGGCATGTCAGAGAATGTCAGCGTAATCACGTTAGCCACAGGACCAAGAGTGTCCTGCTGGAGCCAGCAGGAGGAAGCTGGTGGAATTTCTCTTTTTTGTGGAGAGATACCCAACTTAGTCTGCTCTAGCACATTACCTTTGTAAAGCATCCCATATCAAGTGGATATTACACACAGACACACCTAAGTGTTACCCAGGTGTGATGGTGTTCTGGAATTTGGGACAAGGAGAATCTCTAGTTCGAGGATATAGCAAGATCCTAACACACACACACACACACACACACACACACACACACACACACACACACCACTCTCCCCATAGTCATTGACTTTTAAGCAGATGTCTATATTCATTTATATTTATTGTGTTCATTGATACCTTTGGATTTGCTTATACCATCTTATTTTATGCTTCCTATTTGTAATGCTCTTGTTCTTGTTGTTTTGATATTTTTTGAAACAGGGCGTCTCTGTGTAGCCCTGGCTGTCCTGGTACTCGCTATGTAGACCAGGCTGACCATGAACTCAGATCCACCTGTCTCTGCCTCCTGAGTGCTGGAATTAAAGGAGTGCGCCACTTCTCTGTTATTTGGTCATTTGTTTTTGTTTAATGACATAGGGCCTCTCTCTAGCTCAGGCTGCCCTGGACCTCACCATCCTCCTCCTGTTTGGCCTTGTTTAATGACACAGGGCCTCTCTCTGTAGCTCAGGCTGCCCTGGACCTCACCATCCTCCTCCTGTTTGGCCTTGTTTAATGACACAGGGCCTCTCTCTAGCTCAGGCTGCCCTGGAACTCACCATCCTCCTCCTGTTTGGCCTTGCAAGTGCTGGGATTACACGTGCAAGTACCACACCTGGCTTGGTACAATATTTTTGTTTTGTTGTGTTTTGAGTCAGGGCCTCAATATGTAGGTCTGGAACTTCCTATGTGGCTGATGATGGCATTGAACTCCTGATCCCCATGCCTGTACCTCCCTAGTACAGGCCAACACCCACGGCTTTGTGTCTTGCTTCTTCAGTGACCTCAATCTGCAGCAGTTCTTCAGCCTTTGATTGTCTCAGGCCACAGAGTACAATGATGAGTACATTGTACTTGCTGAGTACAGTGATGTTGGTTTATGAGAGTTTCTCAGCTTGGGCTTCCTTGTGGTTTATTTTGAAGTATGGAATGCCACAAAAATGTCCGTGATTTAAATAATGATAAGCATTTATTATTTCACAGTGTTTCTGTGGTCAGGGATTTAGGAATACCATAGATGGGTGGATCTGGTTCATCGTCTCAGAAAGTCTCAGCCAACATGATGCCTGAGTCATTCATCATCTGGGCGTGAGATGGGGCTAGAGAGTCTGCCCCCAGGATGGCATACTTACCTGGCTGCTAATAGCCATGGGGCTGCTTGAGTATTCTCACAGCATGGCAGCTGGCTTTCCCCATGGAACATTCTACTGAGGAAATAACGAGGAAATATCACCCACCATGTCTTCTGCTGTTCCTGTGTGGAAGTTTGAAATACTTCCACAAGTTCTTTGACTCTGTTCCTTCCAAAGCTGGATTGAATTCTGCCCTTGAATATGGGCCAGAGCCCCTTGTGTGGCTTACTAGGTTTTCCTGATGTCGGTGCCACTGTGTCCATGAATTACAGCCCACAGCACCTGAGGCTATAGCTCCTGCCTGCCGAGGTGCTGGCAGAGAGCCTATGCTGTCAGCCAGCTGACTTTTCCTGGAGTGCCTGAGCAGGACCTCTGGATGCCGCAGGGATGAGAATGTGGAGGTGGCTGAGAAGAGCAGTCCCCTCCCCTAAACGGAGTGTCTTGATAGGCCATTTGTGGTTCTGGAGGAGTCATTTCAGTGATAGCAGAGCCAGGCCCGGGCCGTGGAGCCTCATCGCTCACTGCAGAAGCAGTCTTGGCATTTATACTGGGGACTTGGAATCTACAGGAGAACCTGGGAAGGAGAAGAGGAACGTGCTCGAGTTTGGTAGGAAGGAGGGCCATGGACGGAGAAGTGGTCCAGGGATCTTCATTTAGATTTTTTTGTTTAGGTGGTGTCCCAAGCCTCCTAGTGGATGCAAGGAATGAGCCAGGGCCTCTCAAGAAGATCCTTGGACCCAAACATCCCAGCCCAGTGGATCCAGAGCCCTGTGCTCTGTGAGCTGAGCATGTCATTTGACCTCTCTCAGCTTCATCTTTAAACAAGGGCAGTGAGGCTGACGCAGGACACATGTTGTTATTTATAATGGTGTGTGTGTGTGTGTGTGTGTGTGTGTGTGTGTGTGTGTACCTATGTGCTGGTAGACTCAGAGGAGCTGGATTCCCCCTGCAGCTGGAGTTATAGGGAGTTGTGAACCATCCGTTGTGGGTGCTGGGAACTGGACTCAAGTCATCTGCAAGAGCAGTGACCACCTTTAACCACAGAACTATCTCTCTAGCCCAGGAAGTGGTTTCAAAGGTCATGATCAAATACTGCATGTTATCTACAAGGGGCCCGTGTCCTCCCACGCTTCCAGCCCCATTTTGACATCTCTAAAATGAATATGTCCTGTAAAATTCACTCGGCAACACTTGCCTTTCTGGTTCCTGAAGCTCGGTCTCCGGTCTGCTTAGCTTTGATGGACAACAGCGGGCTGGGGCTAGGTGAGCCCCAAGGAGCCATGCCATCTTTAAGGCTTGACCAAAGCAAACAGGTTTGTTATATAGTAAGAAACAAATCTTTGTCTTTTAGAGATGCATTTATAAATAGTATGGATGCCATGATAGGCAGGATTTTCTTTAAAAACAATATGAAAAAATGGATTGAGACTGGCTGTGTGTGGACAGCTGTTGATGCTGGCCGGAATCACTGGAAACATATGAGTCTCTCTGCCTTTCATGTTTGAAAACTTTCAAAGTAAAATAAGATGGAAACAGTGCCAGAAATAAGTTAAGTTCCATGTGCCAAGTGCCCCCACTTTGCTTCGAAGGGTCTGGGTTTCTAGTTTTTGTTTTTCGTTTTTTTTTTTCCTTCTTATTTGTTTGTTTGTTTTGAGTCAGGGTCTTATGTAACCTCCATGGCCTTAAACTCACCATGTAGATGAAGATGACCTTGAACTTCTGATTCTTGAACTTCTCCTGTCTTTACATCCCAAGACGATGGGCATGCATCACCAGTCCTGGTTTATGTGGTACTTGGGTCAAACCCAGGGACTTGTACATGCTGGACAAGCGCTCTGAGCTGCATTCGCAGCCCTGAGCGTCATTGTAAATGTCACCCCTGCAGAGGGCCCGCTACCTCACTAGTCTATGGTTGCTTCCTCCTCACCCCTCCCTAGTTGTTCTTTTACTACCCTCCTTGACTTTATCTATAGCATGGGTCAATTTGGGGACGATTGATTTGCTTGTCTGATGACTGCCCCCAATGTAAGCTCCATGGATCACAGCCCTTGCCTATTTTGGCACGTGGCAGGCAATCAGGAAATACTTGGTGACTGACTAAGGGGACCACAGAACAGTACTAGCAGTTGTGAGTTGTGCTCCTCTTTCTGTGTGCCTCTGTCTGTCACTGTGTCTCCAGTCTGTCACTCACCTCTCTTTTGAGGCCTTCCCTTGACTGCCAGGAAACTGGTAGCCAGGCTGCTTTCCAATGCTTAGCTTCTCTTTGTGTAGCTAGTAGTCTGGCCCCGGTGTTTAAACTGTGGTCTTCTGGCATCCTTCCGTCTTGCCATCAGACGCTTCCTGCTAATAATTTCCAGGCACTGCCCCATGGTCAGTCCCATGGACTGAGATGGCTTTGTCACTCTTAAGGATAGAATGCTGTATTGACCAGGAAGCTGTCATTGCAAAGTGACGGCAAACTCCTGAACAAACAGGTCGATCGCTGACTCCCATGAGCCTCAATCATGGCCCCACCCCTGGGATTGGACGGTCTCAGTGCCACCCCCAGAGGCTGCCACGCGGCATTCTAGCCACACATCTAGTTTATGTGTTCAGCTTCCCACCTTTCTAAGGCATAGTGACTTCCAGGTGCTGGGGAAGGCTGGCTCAGTCCTTGGGGGGACAGGAATAGAATGATCAGCACCTGCTGAAATTGAGGATATGGGGGGGGGCCTGGAAGAGCACTCTGTGGCCACCAACTCTCCAGGACAGACATTTTCCTTCCTGGAGGAGATGGGGGAGCGGCTGAGCTGCTCTTGGGGAGCACAGGAAGCTTGCCAAGTAGAGAAGGGAGGGAGAAGCAGGAACAGCCAAGAGGAGGGAGCCGTCTGAGCAAAGCCTGGGTTAGAATGGGGTGGACAGACAGGACAGCCATGTCGGATTCTGTCTAGTTTGTGTGTTGCTCAAATCTGCACGTTGCGTTACAGTTTAAAACCAATATCCCACAAGCCAACGTTGTTATGGTTACGACTTTCCTAAGTGTCTTCTGGGGCTCTTGGTGAGAGGTCCTCTAGTGGATTATTTCCCAGGAGAAGCCTAAAGACTGTGACCAGTGCCTCCATCATCGCTCCATCCGCAGGGCTAACAGCTTCTGGCTCCTCTGTTGTTGAAGTTACATTCCATCTACAGGTGCAGAGAGGAGAAATATGATTATGAGAATTTGCCCGGGACGTCTGTTATCATAGCCTTTTATAATGAAGCCTGGTCAACACTCCTTCGGACCGTTTACAGTGTCCTCGAGACCTCTCCTGACATCCTGCTGGACGAGGTCATTCTGGTTGATGACTACAGTGACAGAGGTAAGCCCTATGGAGGGCTGGGGTGACAGGGTGAGGAATGAGGGCTTAGAGTGTGCTCAGAAATAATTGGGACATACTCTAGGGTCAACTGTTGGCCAGTGGAGAGGAGAGGGTGTACAGGGAGCTTGGCCAAGTCAAGGAGGGCCTTGGGAGTCACCATAAGATGTTGGGACTTTTAGGAGCCACCCAGAGAGCTTTAGAGGGACAAGGTCTGGTCAGTCTAAAAGTTAGTGTGTTAAGTGAGAAATGGCCAAGGACGGGGGCAGGGCTGGGCCAGGATGGAAGTGAGGAAGGGGAGGAGTGTCTCTTGCTCAAACACAGGACAGCATTGGCTTAGCTATGACTAGTATATCCATGGAGTGTCTTTAGCTAGTAGATCTTGGGTGACTGGTTAAGGTAGGGACTGCTGAGCTTAACTGAGGGGAAATGTAAAGAATTCAGCAACAGATAGATAACTGTGAGCTTCATTACTGGGGGCAGTTTCAGGCCAGATTATCATCCTGGGTCATCATGGACTCAGCAGCCTCTGCCTGTGGGCTGTGCTCTGGACTGTCTGACTGCTGGGAGTGTGCTCTGACCTGCAGGTGTGTTGGGCTGTTCTCACAAACCTTTGAATTACAGGGATTTACCTGGAGTAGAATTACTTCGAGCTTTCTCTCATGCCAGAAGTTTGTGCGATAGGTCAAGATGGTGTCCGGACTTGTCTCCTTCCAATACATGCCTTCACCTTGGGAGGGTTCTACAGCTGCGGTCTTCCTGGCCCAGGCTGGCTCCTCACCTCTTGCTCATTCTAGTCTGCCAGAAAAGTTCAAAGGGGACAAGGACTATACCCTTTTTCTGGAAGCGCCTCATCTTCTTCAATCAGGCAGAGCATGGTGGTGCAGCCACACCTTGCTGCAAAGGAGTTAGGGGCTAGTCTTCATCCTGGCGACTGTGAGCTTAGCTATACTCTCCAGGCACAGAGGAGACTAGGATACAAGCAACAGTGTCCTTGCAAGTCGGGCTGGAGTTTGGTGCTGAGTGGAGCCCAGGGCCACTGAGCTCCAGGATCAGGATCCCTGGGGCTGAGGCAAGCTCTACCATGATCTGGTCACACCATCATGGTACCTTGGGCCAGTCACTCATTTTCTCTGAGTCTCAGTTTCTTACCTGTGAATGGATTTAGCCACACCTCTGTCAGGGAGTTACAGTGAAAAATAAATGCAGTCATGTACACCCTGCTCCATGTCACTCTGGGTGGGCCAGGATTCCCACCCCTACCCCCAGGGACTCTACAGTTTTGAGTTCTGGCGTTAACCAGTTCAGCCTCTATAAATGAAGTAGTGATAATTCCTACATTGTATGACCACTGTGAGAACTAAATGAGACAAGGCCAGGGATGTGTGTTGTGTTACTGCCTGGCAAGTACTTAAGCCTTGTTAAATGCTAACTTGTGTTTGAATGAAATGCTTTCAGAGTTGTAAACTTAGCTCTTGTCTGCCACACCAACTCCAGTTAACGAACGTATGAACCAAAAAGCAAATATCAGATTGCTTTTATCATCTGTGTGGAATTAGGCAGCTCCTGAGCAGAAAGAAGTACGGGACAGTGTGTCCCCCTTCACAGTGGGGAGGGTGGGCCAGGCTTCCCCCCCTCGTCCCGTTGTGACTACTTAGAGAGTAGGGGACAAGCCATAGGACCTGGGATGCCTTTGGCAGCTCTGCTTGCCTCCTCTTTGCTTATCTGAAGTGATTGACGAGGGCGAGGGTTGGCTCCTTAGCCCAGGAGGACAGCACCGGCCACTCAAAGTCATTTCTGGCAAACCCACCTGAGTGAAGGCCGGCCACACCTGTGTCTCAGTGTGCACACACCACACAGTGGTTAACTGGCATGGCAGGCAAAATTACCTTCCTCACTTCTGCCAGCAGCTCACAGGCAGTCATTTAGAGCTTAAAATCAACCACAGAATGCTTCTAAGTGTTAAGGCTGTTTAGAGAAATGTTTCCATTCATTATGAAGCTACTGTGAACATTCTCTGATAGGTGAGAACTTTGGACCCAAACCTACACTGGTGAGGGAAATTCTCTTCTTCCTTTTCTTTGGCCCAAATAAGTTCCCACCTCCGTCCACCTGACCCTCTGAGGGTGTGACTCCTTGTCCTGGAATTAGGAGACCTGGAGGCTGGTTGTGGGTCTGTCATCTCCATGTAATAACTTCTTCTGCAGCCTAGGTGGTGCATGTCCCCCTGACAAGCTGTTGCTACTGCTACTACAGAGTGCTGCTTTTATATAAAGAAAATGTCTTCTAATATAATTGCCATCTTAATAAAAATTATGTCTTAGTCAGCTTTCTGTCTCTATAACAAAACACCTGATGCAGGCCACTTAGGAGGAAGAAGAGGTTTCTCGGGCTTATAACGTCTGGAGTTCAAGGGCTTGCTGCATTATCAGCTCGCTTCTCAGCTTCAGCATGTTATAGTGGAAGGCATTGGTGGGACGTTGTGTGAGAGCTGGAGATCATACCTGGAGCCAGGAGCAGATGGAGAGACAGGAGTCCTGTGTCCCCCTAGGAGTGCATTGTTACAGCAACCCCAGTGCCTCCCCACAGGCCCCACCTCCAGAAGGTTCCACCACTTCCCAACAGCCCCATCCTGGTGATGAAACTTTAATCACAGTGTGCCCACAGAGGCAAGGGACCATGTTCAATGGGTATATTGAATATATTCAGTATTCAGTTCACATTTAAATGTGCACAGGTCAGCCTATGAAGGGCTTTTAATAAAGGTTTATTTAAGGGCTGGAGAGAGGGCTCAGTGGTTAAGAGCAATCATTGATCTTCTCCTAGAGGACCTGGGTTTGGCTCCCAGCACCTACATGATAGCTCACAGTGATCTACAACCACAGTTCCAGGACATCTGATGCCCTCTTCTGGCCTCTTCAGGCACGACACATGCAAATGGTACATGAATATACATGTAGGCAAAACACCCATACACATAACGTTAAAAATCAGTCAATAGGGGTGTGTGTGTGTGTGTGTGTGTGTGTGTGTGTGTGTGTGTGTGTGCGCACACACACACATGAATGCCTGTGCCTGAGTATATGTATGTGCAGTGCCCCTGGAGGGCAGAAGAAGGTGCTGGGTCCTTTAGAATTGGAGTTAGGAACAGTTATGAGCAGCCTGATGTGGGTGCTGGGAACCCAACTCTGGTCCTCTAGAATGGCAGCAAGAATTTTTAACCACTGAGCCCTCTTTCCAGTTCCGTATGAAATTCTCTTAGCATCAGTTTTACTGAGTCGTATTCAGGTACCGTACCACTCCCCCATATAAAGCCTATGACTGAGTGTGTCTGCAGACAGATCTCCTCCACCTTGCCCTTGGTTCTGGGCATCCCGAGTGACAAAGAAAAAGAGGTTACTGTGGATGTCATTTAAGGGGATCAGGCAAACACTAAATGGTGGGGCCTGGGATGAGTGCCTTGACAAGGATGTAGACCAGTGACTGCCGTTCTGTTTATGTCCACAGAGCACCTGAAGGAGCGCTTGGCCAATGAGCTGTCCCATCTGCCCAAGGTGCGCCTGATCCGTGCCAGCAAGAGAGAAGGCCTAGTGCGAGCCCGGCTACTCGGAGCCTCTGTGGCCAAGGGTGAAGTGCTGACCTTCCTAGACTGTCATTGTGAATGCCATGAGGGGTGGCTGGAGCCTTTGCTGCGGAGGTGTGTGGGCCACTCATGGGGGGAGGGTGCTTGGGTGGCAGTGGGGACTGATTTGTTTTGGCTGCTGGAGGGATGTCTGTGCCTGCATCAGATACCCTTTAGCAGGACCTCTGTGGTGGCACAGTGGTAAATGACATGTGGAAGGTGCTTGGATATGTCCGTTTGTGGAGGGGGCTGCAGCTTCTTACAGTTTACGTAGAGACTGTCATCAGCCCAGGCTTACAGAGTTGTGGATAGAGCCTCATGGGGATGCATGCATTTGGATATATTTATTTCAAGCATGGCTTCACTTAGCCATGGATAGTGGACTTACTCAGTACCGATTAAGTACAAGGCTTGGGGTCCTTGAAACTCAGAGACCCTAAAAGAAGTTATGTGTGTGTGTAAATGTGCATATTTGTATATAATGCTGGAGATGGAATCAAGGGCCTTATGTATGCAAGGCATATCCCTAGAACCCACAATTTTTAAAATATACTAATTTCTTTAAAAATCAGAACTAAAAATGCAAGTATACATGAATATAAAACCCAGCCTGTATTATTTTCATCTTTATATTAGTTTAATGTAAAGTATACTTTTTAGTAGTACACACACATACACACACACACACAGATACACACACACACACACACACACACACACGTCTTCAAGGCTATTCCCCTGTCACCCCAAGCCTACTACCTAGCTGTCTATACTGTGGGTCTGGCTGTGGTTCTCTCTATCTCTCTCTCCCAGTCTCTGATGTCCATGTTTCCTCAACTGTCTACTACAGAAGGCCAGGGTTGGCTAGCAAGCCCGGAGTTCCCCCAGAGGAAGCTCTGGGTTCCCCTCTGCAGGCAGACAAAAGGTCAAAGGCCAGACAACCCTGCTACATGGCCTGTGACTCTTGGTTGCCAGTGTCTGCCTGGAAGAGCTAGGTACTTCCTGGGTGAGGCCAAGCTGCCCCCACTCTGCTGCTTCCTGTGATCTGGCTCCTTGTCCCTGTGGGTATGATTGTAGCTCCTTTCTCTGAGGAATTCACCAGTGACAGGCTTGGGCTTTCCCTAGACCTGAGCTATTGCCTTCTCTGGAATCTGGCCAGTGGGCTCCCTTGTGCCCCTCCCCTGCTGTGCACATAGATGGCTACCCTTGGGCCAGTGTGAAACCTGAGGATGCCACTCTTCCTCCTGAGCTGATGAGCTGATAGACCCTGGACTATCCGGGCAGCCCCCCCCTGGGAGCAAGGCCACTATCAGTGAGGCGCTGTCCACCCTGCAGGTCCATTAGGAATCCTGGGGGACATTTGCATCTGATTCTTAGGGTTTTGCTGGGCTTCTGGGTGTTTCCCAAGCTCACCAGGACTTTGGCATACACTGGAGTATGCCTCATAGGCCTGTAGACTGTGCCTAGGCAGTCTCAACTATATCATGGCCCCTCCCTCCAGGGGGCCCATGGAAATAGAGTTGTCTGTCTGGGTTGTCATGGCAGGTATTATTCTTGGCACATTGCAGGCTAAGGATGCTGAGTAATCCATGTTGTGCAAATGGAGGGTTCAGCTCATAATTCTGGAAACTTCTCCATGAATACCTCCTCTAGTTCCGAGACAGAGTCCTGCACCCAAGTATCAGCATGACCTTCCCCCATGTTCTTCTTTGTGTGAAGCTGGGCTGTCTGAGGTTCCTGCCAGCGGGATGGCAGGTCATGAGTTCCTGGGGGACTTGGGCCTTGCCTTGGCCAGCAGCCGAACAGGTCTGTCCTCAGCCTGCTCCACCCTCTAACAACCCCTCAGTTAGTTTGAAGGGGTAGTGTTGGTAGCTGCCTCATCTGCAGACTCGCCCTTTTGGTGAGCTCCTGGGTTTGATCCTGTGTCTGACCTGGCCTGACCTTGCTGGTCTCACCTCAGGGTGGCACCTGAGGTCTCTCTGACTTTCTTCCGTTAGTCTAGGACATGGCTGACCCCAGCCTGCTGCTCTGTTTCATCGTCTTCCATGCCGTGACTCCTAGATTGGAAGGTCTTACGTTTGAGATAGCTGCCCCCCACAACGTAACCCAAAGAAACGAGTCCTCAGGAGGGGTCCCCTTTCAGCTCATCCCTCCCCATGTGGTGTCATAGGTACTGGCATCATTGAGGGGCGTGCTGATGGACAGTTGGGTTTGGAACAGTGTTTGTGGAGAGCAAAGCCAAGATACATACAGACTGATTCCTACAAACGGAAGTTATAACATTTCTTTTTTCACCACATATTTCACAGTAACAAGAAAAGCAATGGTTCCTTCCAGGTTCTCTGCCAGGGAGCTTGCAAACCAGCCCTCGGGAATCCTCATTTTAGCCCTGTGAGGACACATCTCCATCTTGTTACCATAGAGGCAATAGATTCTGAGACGTCAGGTGACTTGGCTAAGCAAATAAGGAGCATTTAACACAGCAAATAAGGAGCATTGAGAGTCTAAATGTAACTCTAACCTGTTAGCTCAGGCCACCTCCTTCCCCCACTACCGCCCGCTCCCCCTCCCCTTTCTCCTCCTCCTTCTCCTCCTCTTCTTTCTTCTCTTTTCTCTCCTCTTCCCCCTCTCCTCTCTTCCAGCTATCCTCCTTCCCCTCCCTTTCCTCCTTTCCTTTTCCTTTTTTTTTTTTTTTTTTTTTTTTTTTTTTTTTTTTTTTTTTTTTTTTTAAGACATAGTTCCTCTAGTGGCCCTGGCTGTCCTGGAATTCACTATATAGACCAAGCTACCCTCAAAACTCTCAGAGATCCACCTCTGTCTCTGGAGTGCCAGGCATACACTACCATGCCTGGTACATCTTCTGTTCTTAAGACAATTATTTTTTTTAAAAATCGATTACAATGTATTGAGAGAGAGAGAGAGAGAGAGAGAGAGAGAGAGAGAGAGAGAGAGAGAGAGAGAGAGAGCATGTGGCAGTCAGAGGACACTTTGGAAGAGTCAGTCTTTCCTGGCTCCCCCTGGGGAGCCATCTTGCTGGCCAGAGATAAATATTTCTTGATGTTAAGGTGTTTCATTGTAATGGAACCTCTTGCACACCCAAGAAATTGAACACCTGCTTTGTTTTAAAAGTCACCTTTGATTTTCACACACCTTGACCCTCTGAAAGGGATTCGAGTTTAGCCAGTGTCCATGGACAGGATTAGAGAAGGTGGAGACTGTGGGGCTGTTCTGTTCCGGCTCCTCTCCGCCTTCTCAGCATGTCCCGTGGTGGCCCCCAACATGGCCCAGACCCCTGAGTAAGGGAGGCTGGTCTTCTCACCCTGGACTGCTGGAACTCCTGGCTGTTCCCCTGCCGTCTGGAGCTGAGACAGATACTGGCTGTGTCGGGTATTTGCAGGATCCACGAGAAGGAGTCGGCAGTGGTGTGCCCCGTGATCGATGTGATTGACTGGAACACCTTCGAGTATCTGGGCAATGCCGGGGAGCCCCAGATTGGAGGCTTTGACTGGCGGCTGGTATTCACGTGGCACGTGGTTCCCCAGCGAGAGCGGGAGTCGATGCGGTCCCCGATCGATGTTATCAGGTCTGCCTTCCTGGCTACTCATCTCAGAGCCCATCCTAAGGGAGGGATGGACGACTGCCTGTCAACTTCCATTCCCTACCTGTTGCTTCCCCAGAGCATTTATATTATTAAATATCTTTGCTGCACAAGTAGATTTTATATTGGTATGCTTCAGCTAATTGACTGAAAATTTTAATGGGGGACATATGTGTAAGTTCAAATTTTCATTTTTCCCTGGTGGTGCTGAGGGTTGAATTCTGGGCCTCACACATGCCAGGCTAGTTCTCCAGCCTCTGTCCTCTAATATTCTAAAAGCACAGGCGTCCCCCCCCCGCCCCCCCGCCCCCCACCCCCGACGCCACCATTGTTCACATCAGGGGTGGTGTTGCATCCTCTTCCTCCTCTTCAGCTCACTGCTTCCCACAGACCTTGTCTCCTCCAGGAAACTTGGTTCTACCCTCCCTGCCCCAGCCTCACAGAGCTCTGGGTGGTCGTTGTGGAAGTGTGTCATACACAGGGGACTTGCCTGTTGAGCTGTCTGTGAACTTCAAGGCAGGGACTACAGGGTGTGTCTGTGCCCTCAGGCTCGACCTGGTGCAGGGCACAGAGTGTGAGTTCGGGTGTGCTCATGAATGGATGAATGCATGGAAGGGCTCGGCTTCCAGGGACATAGACTCCAGGTGGGGAGGTAGTTTAGCCATTCATGAGGGCTTTGTGCCTCTTCCATTAAAATATGGGTACCACTTTTTTTCTAGGTCTCCAACAATGGCTGGGGGGCTGTTTGCTGTGAGTAAGAGATATTTTGAATATCTGGGGTCTTATGATACAGGAATGGAAGTCTGGGGAGGAGAAAACCTCGAGTTCTCCTTTAGGGTAAGTAATCCTGTCTTCTGTTTGGACTCATCCTGTGTTCCATATTTTTCCCCTCTCTCTCTTTCTCTACCTCCTCTCTTCCCTCCCTCCCTCCTGTGTGTTGGTGTATCCATTATTCTGTAAGACAGTGACACATACATCTTATCAGCTTGCTTGGCTTTTTATATGACTCTTTAGAAGCGTATTTTTGCATTTCCATAAGACTTGGGCTGGAAAGGACATCGCAAGTCTCTCAGTTTCTCACTCTGCAGATGGGGGGATCTGAGGCTGTGACTCAGTGCGTGGTCACTCAGAGTCAGTGGCAGAGCTTGGACTGAAATGCCAGAGCTGGAGTCCACCTGGAGCCGCTGCCTGGCCAGCTGTTTAGGAGGCAGCCTCTGTGTGTAGCACACCTGATAACTTCCGGGGAACTGTCTTAAAAACGCAGGGTCACAGGTTCCCGTGGACAGTCAGACGGGACAGACTTAGTGTGAGATCAGGAAGTAGCCTTCTGTAGCAGGCCTTGCTGCTTCCCGGAGCCCCTCCACAAAGCCTTAGCATGTCAGTGATTTCCTCGTCAGCAGAACCTTACATGTTTAAGGATCAAAACTTAGATTTCTAGCAATGTTTTGTCTGTTGTTCTGCCCTCTTGGAAGCAGTTAACTGAGAAGAATTTGACCTCCTCCCTCCCCCAGCTCTCACATCCTACGTTATAAACACCAGATGCTTGTTCAGACTGCCTTTGGGAAAACGAGGCCCTACATGACCCTGCCCGCCGAGTTTTGGGTGTAATGCTAACGGCTTTTCTGCCTCTTCCCTAGGTGTCAGGATACTCTGCCTCTTCTAGAAGCTTCCTCTCTACCTTTCCAACCTCTCTTCCTCCTTGCTGCTTTCTTCTCTGTGGCATCAGGTAATGAAGACATGTCTGACCCGCTGAGGAAGTGGGTTGCCGGCGAGGTCTTTCGGGCCCTCCCTGGTCAAGTGCATGAGCTTTACTGCCTGGTCTTTGGGGTTCTTAGCTCCTGTGGCTTGTCTGTCTCGGGCTGCTTTCTTGTTCTTTCCCTTGGGGTCAAGTGCGGGCTGGTAAGTGGCCTCTGTCCCCGTGGAGGCTGAGTGCCTTGGCGGGTGCCATCTCCTGGCTGCACTCCCTGTGGACCAGCAGCCATCCATCCCTTGCTCACCATGTGGCCTCTCCTCTCCACCTCCATTGCAGATCTGGCAGTGTGGTGGCACTCTGGAGACACACCCCTGCTCGCACGTAGGCCATGTTTTCCCTAAGCAAGCTCCCTATTCGCGCAGCAAGGCCCTGGCCAACAGTGTCCGAGCCGCTGAAGTGTGGATGGATGAATTTAAAGAACTCTACTACCACCGCAATACCCGGGCCCGCCTGGTGAGTCTCTCCCCACCTGCACACCAGCATCCTCCTGGGAACCAAGCACCATAGTCTGGCTTCCCCAGCAAAGTGGATCTGGTTCTAAGACCAGGGGCAAACTGGGCCTTTCTGATAAAGCCTGGGAAAGTCTATTCTTCATCCATGGTGATGCCCAGTTGATTCTCACTGTCCACGGAGCCATGGTTTATAGCCACTGCAAATACTGAATTAGTGATTTCCACACCATTGCTCCTAGCAGGATTAGGTTCCTGTGGGACTCAGACACAACAGTTTCGCCAGCCAGTTGGGACTATTGTTATGTATATTTCTGTTTCAGGACACTTTAATAGACATTGTTGGTCCATCAACACTGACCTCATGGCCAAGAGCACTGTAACCTATGCCTGAATAGCTCTTACCTAACAAACCTTTTCCCTGTGAGGCATATCACAACCTTCTATTTTTCTTTTACCTTTATTTATTGATGTGTGTGCGTTCATGCATGTGTATGCATGTATGCATAAATGTCCCCATGTGCGTGTGTGCGTGTGTGCGTGTGTGCGTGTGTGCGTGTGTGTGTGTGTGTGTGTGTGTGTGTGTGTGTGTGTGTGTGTTCGTGTTCAGGAATTGAACTCATGTTGTCAGACTTGGTAGCAAGTGCCCTTAACAGCGGGTCCATATTGTTGGCCCTGCATCACTTTCTTAGATTTAGGAATGCAAGAAGCCCTGACTAGGGAGTCAGTTTTGATGACTGCTAAAGTCAGCAACACATGGTGAAAAACAAGGTCTCAATGGATCATGGGAAAGACACACATTTACAGTGTGAGTGCACAACAGGATGGCCCTGTTAGATCTTCCTGGAAGCACGTGTGTTGAGTAACTTGAAGGTCTTGTTTATGAATGTCCGCGACTGAAGGCACCGTGAGTACTGATGTTGGGTCACAAACCAACCTCAGCGTGGAGGTGAATTCGCAAGTACAGAAGCAGAGACCAGCCAGGCTTGACTGTGCTGGCATAGCCAGTCTGGGGTGTGTAGTGTCATCTCTTGGCCATGGTGCAGGTGTCTTGGCTTTCCTCTTTGTAACCAGCTTGGCTGAGTCCATGTGCCTCTTCTTCCACACCTACATCACCGCCCCCATGGACTCTAGCCACACACTGAACTGAGCTGAGTTGAGTCCATGTCCCTTGGACTGACTGAGAGTGAGCCAGTGTCTCTCCTTAGGCGTATAGCTCAGGGGCTGCTTATGCCTCAGAGCCTCATTCTGCCTTTGCCTTTGGCACCTGTGAATCTGCCTTGTACTCCCCACAAGGCTTTGGGCCCATAGGCCCTATACCACCAAGCTCTACAGGTCAGGTACCAGCTTTGCACACCAGAGGACCACTTGGCAGTGCAAGGAGGTCTCCTCCGAGGCGTCTTCCCTGGCCCTTGATGGAAATTTCTCCTGAGGCCTCCAAGCAGCCCTGCAGGGTAGCTACCAACTCCTCATTTGATAGATGAGAAGTCTGAAGTGCAGCGGGTGGGGGAGAAGGAGGAAGAAGAGGGAGGGGAGGCTGAGAAACTGAAGGAAACTGCCCAAGGCCTGCCAGCTTACAGGATGTGGCAGCAAGCCTGGGGCCTGCACACTCCAGGGGGTCTCTCTCTCAGCTCTGTTGAACCCAAGAGCCAGCAGCCCGACCTCCTGCATGGTCCTGTGCGTCAGGGACGCCACGGTCGTTTGCCTCAGCTTCCTGTGTCCTGTCTAGTGCAGCAGACTAAAACACCTGCCCCTCACTGCCACCCCGCCTGGAACTCTAGGTCACTGTTCTCAGAGTGCACCCTGCTTCTCGGAACATGTGAGAAGGGTGTTGGATGCACCTGTAGTCTCGATGCCTGTTGGGCTGTGTTTGAAGATGGGCTTTGGTCAACGCTAGGGCACAGTGACTCATTAAAGGAAGGACATCTGGGGCCAGTGAGTGGATAAAGGGGCTTGCCACTAAGTCAGAAGACCTGAGTTCAATCCCTGGGATCTCCCTGGTAGAAGGAGAGAAGTGACTATCACAAGTTGTTCTCTGGTCTCCGTGTGTGCACCGTGGCATGTGTACACACACTCACACAACATAAATCAAACACTATTTAAAAAAGAACTGGGGACTAGAAATTAGAAGCGTGACACCCAGACACTGCCGCCCTTCCTTGGTGTCGCATGTCAGTCTTCCACAGGATAACACATGAGAGCAAGGACATTCGGATCTCAGCCCTCACCATTGTTCTTGGGTAAACAGTTGCTGTGCCGCATGGTGGCAGGCGACATGTAGTTACAGGGGCTTTGCCTGTGAAGTCAAACTTCCAGAAGTTTGCTTACCCCCAGTGTTGGTCTCACACTAATAAGTTGAGTGTCCAGCACACATTTGTACTTGACTACATTGAGCGTGCAGATCACTCACGATAATATCTAGGACCCAAGTCTGTGTTTGAGAGTGAATACTCAGGTATCAGTAGGAAGAAGGGCACAGCCTGAGTCATGGCATTCCTCTGGTTGGGCATGGAGGGTGGCCTGTGGTCAGAGCCCACATTGCACGGGTCTGAGATGCCGATGCAGGCTTCGAGTCTGGCTGCCAAGCTCTGTCTGCAGGTGCCTTGTCTCCTGATACCATTCTCTTTGCTAGAGTCCCCTATAGCCCTGCCAGGGTGACAGTCTTTTCTGTTGCCTCTGATGTGACTGGCCCTGCTCTAATGGGTTACTCTGTTGAAGACTGACACTTGATCCCCCACAAAGGGCAATAAGTAAGTGTCTGGGGTACCTCACACTTCTGTTCCCCAGTTCTTTCTCTTGAAAGTAAACTCCATGAAATTTGTTTTATGTGAGTGTGTGTGAGCATGCCGGGGTGCACATATGGAGGTCGGAGGACAATTGGTGGTATTCAGTTTTCTCCTCACAAGCCAAACACTATGGCTGCTTGAACGTTCTGTGCCCAGCACCCAGCTCAGTGAAAGCCCATGGGTTGATTATACGTTAGTTAGTGCCTTCAGCAAGGATGGCTTCAGGGCCCAGAGGATTCAACCATTTCGTTTTCTCAGGAACCCTTCGGGGACGTGACGGAGAGGAAGAAGCTTCGGGCCAAGCTCCAGTGTAAAGACTTCCGGTGGTTCCTGGAGACAGTGTACCCAGAACTGCACGTGCCAGAGGACAGGCCTGGCTTCTTCGGGATGGTAAGCGGTGGGTCGTGACAGATTGGATCTTGGGTCTGAACAGTGATCCTGGGGGAAGAAAATTCGCATTTGTGGGTTCCACAGACCTCCCCCCCCCTCCTGTGTGATGGGCACTGTTTTCCTTTCCCTTTGAGCATCTGACTCTGGGTGCGGAATGCCAGGACTGGAAGGCACTGGAAATTGGCCAGGATGAGCTACGGTTTGTTGTTGCTGGTTCATAAGTGGGGTGTGGGGTGTCATGGTATATGTGGGGATCAGAGAACAACTTTCAGGGGTGGTGTCTCTTCTGTCATTTTGTGGGATCCGGGGATCAAACTCGGGTTGTTGGACCTGTGTGGACCTGTGTGTTGGACCTGTGCTTGTGCCCACTGAGGGTCTCTCCAGTTAATTAATTGCTGTTCTGGGGATGGGGAGTGAGGCTTGCGTGGTGTTTCCATGTCTTAATTTTTGCTACTGTTTTCAGATTCCTTTTAGTCGTAATGTCCTCAACCAGTTAGTCATCCCCAACCCTTAGGAACCATAAACTCGATAGTGGAGGCAGGAGACTCACTTCCAGTACTTCGGAAAACCTCAAAGAAACATTTATGGACCAAGGCCAACTAAGACAAGAGTCCTGCTTTTGCTAGGAGCTAGGCCATCTCATGTGGCCTTCTCCACGGTTGCTTGTCTGAAGTGCTGGCGTTCCATTTTCGATAACTGCAAAGCCAGGATTTAGTGTTACTTTGTGTTTTCCATGTTCCAATGTACCAAAACACAGGAATACTGAGTCTTGTCTCTGTGATTGTAGAATAGTCAAGACTCTGTTCCTCTTGCTTCCTCCCCCTCGTCCCACCCTTGGTGGGTTTTTGTTTACTGGGGCAAACCCCAGGGGTCATGTCATTCGCTCCTACGCTCTTGAGGGTGCAGCCCTGTAAGTGCGGCATTGTCTCAGGGGTCAGACCGCTACCGTGGCCCACCACGTGACCACTCAGCCTTGCTGCCGCTCACTCTGCTGTTGTAAGGCGCACTCCTCTGGTTCCTCGGGTTGCTCTTTGGGGGATTGCAGATTCTAGCGGGGATCCCCACACTGTGTTGGACTGTCACATCTTGCTTCAGAAGACTCCGTTAGCCTGAGTCACACCTCCACATTTTCTCATTAATGACACTTTTACCAGGCTTGGTTGTCTGTGGAATGTCTCACTCGTGGTGCTGTCTGTAAGTTGCACCTTTCTCCTCCATATTTCTTTACCATGGAAGTGAGGCCGTGACCCAGAGACGTTTGGGCCAGGGCAGCAATAAGGCTGTGGCTGAGAGAGAGATGCCGGCTTTCAGGCCAGGCTTGTCATCTTAAAGTGGGGCCAAGTTCCCACCTATTGTCAACACGGGAAAGCGTTTATGACTAGAAAGAGCTAGACGGAGGGGCAGGGCTCCCCTCCCTGGGGTGGCCGCGGGGGCCTCTCTCCTCATCGTGTTCTCCCCACTGGATGTCAAGATTGTGTGACATCTCTTGGTGTGTAGAAGTCTAGACCCAGGTGCCACCTTTGTGTCTCCTTTAGCTCCAGAACAAAGGACTCAGAGGGTACTGCTTTGACTATAACCCTCCTAATGAAAACCAGATCGACGGCTACCAGGTCCTTTTGTACCTCTGCCACGGGATGGGGCAGAACCAGGTAGGTGTGGGCCTCAGTGGGGAAGGGGCAAGCTTTGTCACTCTAATTTAAAAAAAAAAAACTTCGTATTGTATTTATTTACTTATTTATTTGTGTACGTGTGTGTACGTGTGCCTGTGGTGTGTGTGTTGAAGACAGCAGGCAAATGCTGGAATTTGATCTCCTTCTACTGTGTGGGTCCCAGGGATAGAACTCAGGCCACCAGAGCCTTTAATGAACCAGCTCACCCACCTCACCAGCCCTCTGCGTGGTCTTTAGAAAATGAAATATCTGGGTTTTGTTTGCTTTTCCTGTCGGAGTACGACTCAGTGGCAGAGCACTAGCCTGGCGGGTAGGACTCACTGGTGTCTGTTACTTTGGAGTCACCGTTACAGGAAGAACCCAAGGGAGGAAGGTCATTTGGGCTCAGGACTTCAGAGCGTTCAGCCCATGGTGGCTTGGCCCTGTGTGCCTGGGCAGAGCATCATGGGAGCAGGAATGTGAGGTGGAGCAGTTCCCATCATGGGGTCAAGGTAGAGAAAAGGGATACCGTAGAGGGCCAGGGCAAGATCCAGTCCCAAGGACATACCCCCTGGATGTGCTTCCTCCAGGGAAGCCCCCTTTCTTGCTCACCACCACTTGCCAATCCATCGGAGGATTATAATATAAACAGTGGAAAGGGGTAAGTGGCGAGACTCAGAAGGACAGCGAAATGGACCGTACGTGTTCTCCCTCCCGTGTTGGCGTGAAAGGGCTAGAGTACGTGCTGGGAGTGGTTACAGCGCTGCTTCCACACTGCTTTAACTTAGTCACGTGTGTGTTGCCGGGGGTCCTTTGAAGGTGTCACTCCCTGTGGCCTCTTTGTAATTTGACTTGATGCTTTCATTATTGTCTAGTTAACTGGTTGTCCGCCTCTCCGTTTTTGTCATTGAAAGTAACTCTGTCACTAACTTGGATCAGAAAGAAGAAAGTAATAGATCTATATTTTATAGGGTTCCTTTGAATTAGTTCCTTTAAAGTATTTTTAAAGGTCACGTGTGTGTGTGTGTGTGTGTGTGTGTGTGTGTGTGTGTGTGTGTGTGTGTGTGTGTGAGTGTGTGTGTGTGTGTGTGTGTGTGTGTGTGTGTGTGTACGTGAGCATATGTGAGCCATGGCATGAGTGTAAAGGTCAGAGAACAGCTTGGGAGAGTTGGTTTTCGCCTACTTTGTGGGTTCTGGGGATTGAACTCAGGTCATCAGGCTCGGTGGCAAGCACTTTTAACTGCGAGCCAGCCCTAGAATGAATTCTTAAATAAAATAAGTTTTTTTTTTTTTTTGGTTTTTCGAGACAGGGTTTCTCTGTGTAGCTTTGCGCCTTTCCTGGAGCTCGCTCTGTAGACCAGGCTGGCCTCGAACTCACAGAGATCCGCCTGGCTCTGCCTCCCAAGTGCTGGGATTAAAGGCGTGCGCCACCACCGCCCAGCATAAAATAAGTTTTGACGCATGGTATCAAAACAGTGTTGGGGAAATTGCCTCAGGTGGGGCCCAGGCAGATCTTTCTGGTTTAAGTGCTGTGGGTCAGGCTGGGCAGAGAGGCTCACCTTTAGGTTTTCTGAGGACTAGAGCCCGAGACAGCCTAGGAAAGAGGTTGATGTGCCTGAGGGGGTCACCACCAGGGATGCAGACATTGGGGATGGATTGGTTTGGGACCTACAGAGCTTCACTGCTCTGAGGAGCCCCAGACACCCAGAGATGGAGAGAAGGAGATACAGCATTTTTCTCCCACTCCTGCTCACCATTTGAGCGTAAGCCTCCTTCTAGCCTGAACTTCCAGATTGCCATCATTCCAACCCCCCCCCCCCACGCCTTAGATTATTTGGGCTCTTCAATACTTCTTAGTGTCCTGCTCCTCCAAGCTGAGGATATCCATTGGAACCCTCCGAGTTCAGGCCCATCTCACCCCGAATCCTAGCCTCCTGTTTGATGAGCCCTTTAGAGATGGATTAGAGAAGCATTGCACCGTGTATTAGAGGCAGGAGAAGGTGCCTTGTCAAAAGTGCTAAGAAGTATAGCTTCTTGGGCCCTTCTGAGAAAGAACCCTTATTCCCACTCTGCAGTGGGACCAGGGACCAGGATCATCCCCAAGTATTGTAGAGATGCCAAGCACACCAGAGTAGGAAACACGTTGCCTGGGATGAGAGAAGTCTTTCTTTTTGGGGGTGGGGTGGGGTAGGGTGTTAAGCCTCTAATGCAGTGCGAGGCCAATGTGGTGGCCCACACTAAGCAGATGCTCTACCACTGAGCGTACCCCATGCCCCAAATCTTCCAGGCCTTTTTTGTAGCCGTTTACTTGGAAGAGGGAGAGACTGAGGCAGAGGAGAAGTGGTTGCCAAGGTTGCAGACAGCCCCTAAGACAGGTCCGTTTTCTTTCCCACCCAGCCCCAGCCCACCCTCCCTGTCTAGTAAGTGGGCTGGACAAGAGAGGAACGCTCTACCACACTGGCTATGTACTGCATTAGAGGCCAGCTCAGGGCCCCAAGACACCTGGAGCCCTAACAGGGTCATGGCAGAGGTGGGGTGGGGTGCTGGTGGCCCAGTCCACCCCATTATTCCCCCTAGATCAGTGGTTCTCAACCTTCCTAACGCTGCAGCCCTTTAACACAGTTCTTCATGGTGTGGTGACCCCCAGCCATACAGTTATTTTTATTGCTACTTCATAACTGCTGTATTGCTCCTGTTGTGAATCGTGGTGGAAACACCTGATATGCAGGTTGAGAACTGCTGCCCTGGATGATCTTGTTCAGGGCATCTTCTTCCACATCACAAGGTAAACTGACACGTGTTGGTCACCCTGTTGTTAGTTTTTCGAGTATACGTCCCAGAAAGAAATACGCTACAACACCCGCCAGCCTGAGGCCTGCATAGCTGTGGAGGAAGGGAAGGATGTCCTTATCATGCATCTCTGCAGCGACACCGTCCCGGAGAATCAGGAGTTCATCCTACATGAGGTCAGCGATGTGCAGTTCTCCGCCATCTATCCGGGTCTGTAAGACAGCGTGGAAGCCAGGTGTCCTCTCTAGCCTGGTCCCAGGGGGGTCTCCGACACTGACACTGGGAAGTGACTGCAGAGTCTGTGGCTTCTGGTGACAGTGGGGCTTTCTTCTCTTTGAGTATTTTCTCTTACACTATGAGCGACAGCAGGTTGTCATAGGAAGTAGAGTTGTCACAAATGGATGGGAGTGAGATGGAGTTGTTAATTCAAGTGTCATAGTGGTCTAAGCGCTCGAACATGAGCTTAGACCCAAGCATGAGTCGCCCTGCTTCTCTGAGCCTCATTTCCCCCTTGCTCTGCAATGGGCTTGTTAACAGCCACCCTGCCCTGCCCCAGGAAGGACTCAGTGGGTTCCCAGGACTTCCTGTGGAAGCTGAGGCCCTATAGAGACTTGTGGATGTAACCGAGCAGACAGTCTGGGATGGAGCTGGCTTTCCAGATACTGTTGATTGAGAGTTTGGTGTCATCACACACCTAGAAGGCACAGGCCCCTAGCCCTCTGGCAGCAGGCTTTACAAAGAGCTGGAGGAGGTAAGTCAAATAAAAAGGAGTTTTCTTCCAGTATCTGCTCCTGACTAGCCCCAGGGATGCACTGCTCATGAATGGGTTAATCTGAAATCCCGTTCAAAGTTGAAATACATAATAATAAGCAGTGGATTTTTGCAGGCTCCCTGGAAGAGCTGAACCCTGTAATGTTGCACTCCTATAATCCCAGCACTTGGGAGGCTGAGGCAGGGGGATTGTGAACTTCAGGCCAGCAAGACCCTGTCTTAAACTAAAACCGACTAGGCAGAGTAATCTACACACCCTGCAATCTGTTCTCCTCTTCCCTTGGCATTTATCTTTTGTTTGTAAGCTGTGCCGAACCCCAGAGAGCGATAGGACGATGTGGAAACAAGGTTGGCCTCACACTGTGTTAAGAATTTCACTGTAGGGCTGGAGAGATGGCTCAGTGGATACAGCACTCGCCGTATAAGCGAGAAGATAGGCGTTCAGATTTCCAGTACCCACCTAAAAAGACAAAACTGGGGAAGCAGCCACCTGGGAGGCAGCCCTTGGGAGTCGGGGAGCCTCAGAGCAAGCTGGCCGGCTAAACCGGTGAGCATGAGATTCAGGAGAGACCCTGTCTCAAGTAAAGAAGGTGGAGGTGACGGCATGTCTTCCTCTGGTCTCTGCATGCACACACACACACACACACACACACACACACACACAATTTTACCTTAAAATTTAGTGCTCACTTAAGAAGTAAGTTTGTGTAGAAGGCAGGGCAGAGAGGTGCTATAGTGAGTCACTTACTTTTAGCCTCCTCGGGAGGTAACTTGGGGGGCCCTGGAAGAGTTGGGGTCAGCAGCATCTAGCTGCTTACAAGGCCTCTCCCTCAGAACTGGGAGATTATGCATTCTGACTGGCCCTTTGTTAAATTCCTTACGGGGATACAGCTTATACCACAGAGAGAGGGAGGCACAAGAGACACAGCAAAGACAGCCTCCCCATGCCCTGGGCCAGGGTGGGGAGAGAGAAGCAGGGCCGTTAAAGATCCCACGCCCTGTGAGACCCACTGCCTCTTACCCAGGCTGGGAACAGATAGCCAGGGCGCTCGGGTCCCTCACCCGGCTGCAGCCAAGTTAGGAGTATGGCCAGGTCTCCTGACTCTGTTAAAATGCTCAGGAGAAGGAAGTTATCAGGGATGGAGTTAGGTAGTGAAGAGACCCAAGGGAGGTAAATAAAGGATCTTGCTTGTGATTTCCGGGGAGACAAGCTAGAGGTGCTGACCCATCCTCTTGAGTAGCCAGCAGGTGGCGCTGTTTTGCGTGGCTGGCACATTTCTGAAATGCTAAAAATCCCTCCCTGGGGTCTTCAGAATCTGCCTTACAGGAAATGAGGCTTTTCTGAGGAGTCACTAAAAATCATCTTGAATGTGCAACGTCTGTTATCATTTGTAGGACGGCACTTTAGTTCACAAACAGACCGGGAAATGCGTCGAAGCCACAAAGAAGGACGTTGGCCACGGCTTTGTACCACTCTTGCGGGACTGCACCAACTCAGATAAACAGAAATGGGTCTTCAAGGAACATGTGTCATAGTGCATCGCCTTGTCAAGGAAGAAGCCCATCATGGCCATGAACTCTGTACCCAGTGAGATGGAGGAAGTGCATGGTTGCCATTTGTGAATGTGTTGGATTTCACAAGAATGTGAATAAGTTTTGTACAGATTTTGAAAACTTTAAAAATGTCTCCCAGTACCCTGTTTTCTAAGGGCAATCCTAAGATGTTACCTTTGGTATTTGAAAAGGCTGATAGGATTTTTTTTTCCCTATCAAGATGTGCATTTTATAATGGTGCCTTTTATTCTCACTAGCAAGAAGGTAAATATTTTATTTTGGTACTTACAAGGATCCCTGGGTATGTGTACTTTGCACAAACTGATAATACCTCAAATGTCAAGTTAGAGTTTTCTCAGTGGGGTGAGATGGACACTAGAAACATCGTGTTGATTTCTTCAGGTGTGAGTTAGATGAGATGGTCTAGATTTGTATAATAAAGAATGCTTTTTTGCTTACTTATGTGTTGCTGCCACAGTCAAAACTCTCCCATAATGTTCATATGGACCAAAACAGACTGACCAAACCTGAAATTTCAAAGAAACACTATGGATTACCAAGAGCATCCAAACTTGAGAGTGTATTTCTAGCAATGCCTACCGGGAGGGTGGTGGGTGGCGTTTAGTAGTGCTTAGCCACTGTGACTTTAAGACATGTTTGTATAACTTTTAATTTTTATCACCAGGTAGTACCAGGGAGAAATGACATATTCTGCATGAAACTCAATTTTCAAGTTGGTTCTTAAATAGTATTTGATTATTTAAATCAGTGTGAGGGTTTGTGATAGAGCAGCTGCTGTGGATACTGCTCAGTAATGCAGGTGTCTGGATGACCCTAGATCCATTCCCAGAGCTCGCCGACTTGTTAAAGTGAATAGGAACGGTTAAAAATACCGTCAGTGAACTCGGGGTGTAGGTCAGTTGGTAGAGTGCCTGTGTAGCATGTACGAGGCCCTGGGTTCAATCCCCAGCACCTCATTTTTTTAATAGGCTTGGTGGCACACCCCTAATCCCAGAACTTAGTAGGTGGAGGTAGGGGAATCAGAAGTTGAGGGTTATCACTGGCTACACAGAGAGTTTGGGGTCAGCCTGGGCTTCAGGAGACCCTGTCTCAAGAAAACATCAGTGAGAAGGTAGACTGTGGATCTTGTTTTTGTCCCAGTCAATTGTGAAAACACATATGTGATTCATTAAAAAGTGTCTCCTCGTGTCTCTCGCTCTTCTCTCAAGCATTCTACCCTGAGGAAATCTTTCTAGAATGATGCTAACAGCTCCTCAGAAACAGATCTGCTTTGCCTGGATCCACCTGATGCACCGTAACTGCTCTGTACTTCCGGTTCGTGTGAGTGAGATGGAGTTCATGAAACAGAGTTCCGGGGCAGGAGCAGGTGAGGGCTTAGCCTGGTTTGGGGCATGGGGAAGGGGCTCTGAGTCCTTCCTTGCCTTTTTTTTTTTTGCATGTGTATGTAATGTGTATATATATGCATGTCCATATATCTGAGGCACGTGTGTAGAGGTCAGTTTGACTTAAGGTGTCTCCCTTGATCATTCCCTGCAGAGCTCCATGTTGGCCAGGCTTTTCTGTGGATACTGGGGATCCATCCTCTGCTCCTCATTCGTTCAAGTCAAGCACCCTGTCCACGGAGCCAGCCTACCCCTTTAGATTCTCACGAATATCCTGTATAAAATGCAAAGTGCAATGCATGTCAGCGGGTTTATTGAGGAGCAAATACCAAACAATGCAGTTGTTTTCTCTTTACGGATTAGGCAGCTCTTGAGCAGGCAGGAGTGTGGGGTAGGGCAGCGCCTGCATGGCTCTGCTCTCAGGCTGAGGGCAGGATGGGCCTGGCCATCCCCTGCTCCTGCTGTGGAGACTTGTAGGTCAGGGGAGGGACCACTGCTCCGCTTCCCCCTGCCTTCTGTAGTGTAGGGTCAGGTGGCCTGATGGAGGAGGAGCCCCTCCCCAAACCCAGGAAAACAGCCTGGGTGGGCCAGACGCGAAGCCGGCGTCCACAAATGCGCCCAGAGCGTGGGCGGCTGCACCTGTGTCTGTGTGCGCCCTCAGCACGGCCGCCAGCTGGCTTGGCTGGAGGAGTCAGCTCACTCCTTCCACCAGGAGCAGTCAGCTTTAGTGTCTGAGAAGATCGCGAAAATAATCTCCTCTTATTTTTGGAAACATTACAATATTTGAGGAGGCTTTCCCTGCAGGGCTGGGTGGAGGGTCTAAAAAAGGCCCCATGGATGTGAGGAGGCGCCCCTGCTGTCTTGCCTGTGGCTCCCCATCTCCACCTGACCACGGGAAGGTGTGGATGCAGTGCTAATGTGCGGAGTTGCTGAGGCAGATTGCCTTGGGTCCTAGGATTCCATTTTAATTTCCTCCGAGGAGCTCTCAGGGGAATGTCACCCCTAGCCTGGCCTCCTGGGGATCTGGGTGTTTGATGGTGGATGTTTAGGGTATGTTTTGCATGGATGACTTCTGTATCCTAGAGGACAGCCTGATGCCCAAGTGAGCAAGTGTCCCTTTCACAGAATTCGTTTCTATTAGCAGACGGCTGTGGTTCTTCTCTCTCTCTCGGGTCTAATATAACTAGCAAGATTGCCGTTTGCTGGGAGAGCCCTGACCTGGAAAGAACCAAGTTAGTGTTAGGGGTGTCAGCCAGCATGCCATAGGGAGGAAAGGAATATCACGTGAAACAGCAATGTATCACAGATCTGGAGCAGTGGGACAGGGCTTGTGCTAGTCAGGGCTTGTGCTGACAGGATGAGTCTGTATAGACAGAGAAAGGGGGTCGGTCTGTTAGAGTGACTCACAGGCTGTGGTCCCGCTAACCCAACAATGGCTGTCTACCAGTGGAAGGTCCAGGAACCCAGGAGCTGCTCAGTGCTCGAGGCTGGATGTCTCAGCTCGTCTTCAGTAGACACCAGGATCCCAAAGAAGTAGGCTGTAATGCTAGTGAAGGAATGGACTTGCCAGCAAGTGTGAGAGCAGACAGGCAAAGAGAGCTAGCTGCTTCTTCCATGTCCTTTATACAGGCAGCTCTTCACACCTCAAAAGATTGGGTTAAAGGTGGGTCTTAACACTTCAAGTGATTTAATTATGAAAAAAAAAAAAAAAAACAAAAACAACAAAACCCTGTCAGGTCTGCCCAGCCACTTGAGTTTTAGTAAAGTTTAGATGGGTCAAGGTAACAATGGGGCCAGCAGGAAGAGGGAGCTGTCAGGGACATGCACAGTCAGCCAGGGAGTGGAAAGGAAGTGTGCTGTGACCAAAGCCTCTGCTGAGGTTCAGGGTGTTGTCTTAGCCCTTTTCCCCACAGGGTTCAACAGGTGTGTCAGAGTTGAGGCACTGTGCAAAGTCACACCGGGACAGGCGGTCCTCATGGGTGTGCAATTCAGACTAAGGAACTAGGGATGGAGGAAAGAGCTGGAAGTAATGCTCAGGGTGACTGCCCCTGTCTCTGGTATGAGCAAGTTATCCCTATACTCACTGGAGGCTGAGACAATGTGCATAAAATATCACCTAACTTAGATAATGGTTCTTATAGAATGAGAATCCAATATAGATTTATTGCCTATCTGTGTGATGGTGGCATAAGTGTGTCTTGTGATCTCTCTCTTTCTCTTCCTCCCTCCCTCCCTCCCTCCCTCCCTCCCTCCCTCCCTCCCTCTCTCCCCTTCTCCCTCTCTTTCTCTCTCTTCCTCCCTTTCTCCTCCTCTCCCTCTCCCTCTTTCTCTCCCCCCCCCCCTCTCTCTCTCACACACACACACACACACACAGAGTGTTGATCAAGCCCCACTGCCTTGTGCATGCAAGGCAAGCGCTCTACCACCAAGCCTCAGCCCTCTTAGCTATATTCTTTAGTTACTTGTTGAGCACATGTCTTAGAAATTACAATATGCTTCTTAAATTTCTCACAGTCTTCAGCTTATTGTTGAATTAATTCTAGTAAAACTTAGCTGGATCAATCCGTTTCTCCCCTCTTTTCTGTCGTGGACATGGTATGGCTTATAAACCCAGCAGCAGAATGGCACAGCTGCTGCTTTGACAGTAAGAGAAGAGTGTGTATGCACAGTCCTTTAGTTCCCTGGCATATGTACCAGTTGCTCTCTGAAGCTCCACGTATTGTTTGCTTGCATTGTAAGGATGTTAGTGCTTCTCCCAGGGGTGGTTAGATCCGTCTGTAGCAGACTCTCTCTGCTTATTTGGGAATGTTTTTATCCTGCCTTCCATGTTTGAGAGATGGGTCGTTTAGCTGGGTATAGGACCATCCTTGGAAGGTTCTTGTTTATTCTAGGACTGGGTCCATAAAACTACATGAGTCAGATTGCAGAACTTTCTGCTGTGACAAGGATGCCCATCCTCCGGTTACCCCTACAGAGCCCTCACGTCCCTCTGTACTCCAGCAGCTCCAACAGCCAGTCTTTACTAAAGGTCTATTTAAGGAGCCACACACTTTCTCTGTCAGGCTTCTCATAATCTGCCCCACCCCGCCATGCTGTAGGTCTCTGTTACAGTAGTGTCTCCCTTCCAGATGTCGGTTAGTATTTCCTATTGCAGCCGAGAACTTAGCAGGTGAAATTGGCACTCACCTGCTTTCTCACAGCCCCATGTGGGTGGGTCATAGGGCAGGCTGTGCTCAGCGTTCCTTGTTTCTCAGCTCCGGGTCTCTGAGTGAAATCAAGATGTGGCCTGCTGCTGTCTCCTCTAAGACATGGGTTCTGCTTCCCAGCTCACTCATAGTGGAAATCAGTCCCTGTGGTTGTGGGACGGAAGCTCGCTGAGGTCACTGCTGAGAACATGCTGCTGGCAGTGAAGAGTAAGCTGCCATGTTGTGTGGCATGACTAGGGTTCAGGACGGCCTCCAGGAGCCAAGCTCAGGCTGAAGGTCTGGGAACATGGACACTATATGTACAGTGGGATTGGGGTCCCAGGGATGATTGCCTCTGGGCATGCCTACTGACCATTCTAGAAGATTCCGTTGTGTAGACTGATTAAAAATTCCTAAGGAGTAAAATTTTCTCACCTGACAAAACACCTTGTTGATCAAGAAGGGGCTTGTTTTTCTTAGAAATTTGACTATTGTGTTAATATTTTTATATATAACTATATATTATTTACATATAAATACAAAAATATAAATTATATTTATTTGTAATATAGTGCTTTTTATGGACTGAAGTGTCCTGTCCCAGCAGGTTCCCTTTCCCTTCCTGTCAGGACAGCTCCTCACACACTCCTGTGCACGGAGGAAATCACCACCACTTGGAGAACAGGCCCACTGGGCGGTTCTAGGGCAGGCCGGAGGGTCTTCATGCCATTGCTTCTGGGCTGTAGGTTTCCCGCGTTCTTCCTTCTATTCCTTTTCTTCATCCCGCCCCCTTTCCTCCATAGCTTTCCTTTCTTCTCGCAACTAGCAACCCCTCTGTCTGTCTGTCTGTCTGCCTGCCTGCCTCTCTGTCTCTCTGTCTCTCCCCCCCCCTTCTCTTTCTCTCTCTTTCCTGGATATCATGATGTACCCCGGACTGGCCTTGAATCCTCCATGTAGCCCAGGCTGCCTCAGTCTCCCAAGTGCTGAGTTTACAGGTATGTGTCCCTGCCTGCTGTTTGGGCTGCATTTTCAGCAGCAAAGACCTTCAGTGTGACTAAGAAGGAGGCGGGGCTGTGGTGAGAAAGGCAAAGGGAGGCTGGGGCCAGCCCACGGGCCTGCCTTCCTTGTGTGACTCACTAGGGGGTGGTGTCAGCTTGGAAATGGGACAGTGCTTTTGTGGGAGACGAATCAGTTGGTTTTTAAAATCCTGCAAGTCTGAGATCCACGAGATGGATGAACACCTGAGAGACACCCAGAGGCCACCCAGGGCCAAATCTAGTTAATGGGGGAGACGGAGGCTGTTGAGGGAAGGGTGTGTTTGCAGACAGAGCCAACTAGAGCTGACTTCTCCGCATCAGGATTTCACGTTTTCTTAATAACTGTCGTCTGAATTCGGCTTTGTTGAAGTTCTGGAAGCGTCCACGGGGCCTCTTTTAAAACTGCCCCTGCACAAACCGGTTTGCTAGATGGTATTAAGTTCCAATCTTGAGAAAAGGTTCTGAGGCCTTTGACATCTGGTCTGGCACATCACAGCTGCAATATTCACTTGATAAGTGTGGCTGGAAATGCTAGCCTGTTTCCTAGTGGCCTGGAGAGATGGCTCAGTGGTTAAGAGAACTGAC